CCTAATATTAATGATGTAGAACGTACATGCAAGGATGACTAGATTAAGGAAGTTGCACACTTAATTTTAGGAGCCACAATAATTATACCCTTTATATTGATTTTAAACGACAAGATAAAATACAAAGAGCGGTAAAACAAACTTAGGCTAAATTACATGCATAGGAGTTAAGATCATAAAACAATCAATTAATCTAACATTGCATACATGAATGATTTTCAACGTAAATCTCTAAACTAACAATGAGATTAGGCACTATGCACGAGTCCCTCACTCAACTCTCTAGTTCTCTAAGCTTTAGCGGTGAAGAGCTTGACATGAGCTTTATGAATCAAGGTATAACCACGTTGGAGAAGTAAACTAAGAAGATAAAAGAGTTGGGGGTAGACTTTACCCAAAGTAAATGAGTTACTATGCTCCGGTGTGACCGATTATATGCTTGAGGAAGGATGGACAGCGACTTCAGATCAGGGAGCCTTCGGGATGGCGATTGGAGACCGTCTGGACATCAGGGCAGTCATAGGAGGTCTCCAGGACGGCTGGACAGCAGCTATGGATGCTGTAGACAGCAGCAATGAAGGTCGGGACAGCAGTTCGGCACCTGGAATAGTTCTGGACAGCAACCAAACAGCCTCCAGAAAATTTGGACAGCGATTGCCACGTCGGGGAGGTCTTTGGACAGCAAGGACGGCCACTTGGTGGTGCAGGACAGCAAGATAGACTTGCAGTAAACCTTAGACAGCAATTAGAAAACTCACAAAGGGAAGAAATTTGAGGAAGAGGCTTTGGAATGGATGGGTGGGGCTGTGATCGGCTCTCTCATAAATTGGAAATTAAACTTCAGCCTCAATTATGAGAGAACTAGGGTTTGAATTTTGAATTCAAACTAATTGGAGGGAAAAGCTAATCTTTTCCTAATTGAGAGGTTTTGATTGATGTGATTAGGAGAAGGAGAATTAAAGTGGAGAGAGAGAGAGAAAAGGGAGAGAGGGGCCGGCGGTATGGAGATGAGGGGAAGGGTTTGGGAAGGTGTTAAATGCTTGCTTAATTGGAAACCTCAAAATTAGGGAGGGGAATTTAAGTCCCATCCAATTATAAATTAATTTGGATTTGATTTGAAAACTTTCCAAAAGTAGACTTCTAAATTTGGGAAGATTTCAAAATTCAAATTTGAATTAATTAATTGACATCAAGGCTTTCCAAATGAGGTTTGGTGGAAAAGGAAAGTAATGAGGAAGATTTGAAATTTTGGAGGCAAAGGGGATTGGGGAGTTTCCAAATTAAATCAATCTTCTTGAAGGAAAGGGTTTCAAATTCAATTTAATTTGAATTTGAAATTTGAATTATTTTCAAAGCTAAGATGATCTAAATTAGGAAAGTATTCAATTCTTTCCCTAAATGAGATTAGGAAAGAAAGGGAGGGAGAAAAAAGGTAGGGCCGGTGGATGTGGCATGGGTGGTTGTGGCTAGTGGTTGATGGAGGAGATCCAGTGGGAGGCCGGCGTGATATGATATATGAGTTGAGTTACACAAGATTATTAAAGAAGACTTAACAATAGCTTAAACAATTATAGAATCACACATCAAGTCAAAGTCGGTTACAAGAAGTCGTAGTGTTCCACTTGCTTAGGAAAAGAAATTACAAGGAAATTAACCAAATAATTTAAGCAAATACAAAGGCGAACGTAAAGTTAAAAGCTAGTGATTTGAATCCAACGATTAATACGGAGTTGTTCACCTTGAGGCCTCTTCTCTCTTTCCTACGAACTAGGTTGAGCGGCGGAAGATCGTCCATGCTAGGAGTGAGGTTGTCACAAGGAGGGAGGAGCCAAGGAACATCGTCATTGGTAAGGAACTCGGAGGCAGTGGTGGCACGGGAGGATGACCTTCAATAGTCCACGTGTAATCGGCAAATTGGTCGTCGATGACATCCACTAGGGTTGGGAGGATCCGATTCAAATAATCCTCGATGGTGTCGTCGAAGCCGAATCCCAAGTCGAAGAACGGCGAGCGAAGGATGTGGATGTCTCCGTAGATGTCATAGAAGAGTCTGTGATCAACGGCGGGATCCGCCATCCACCATGGACTTGAAGACGAGCAATCACCCAAAAGCAATTCCAAGAGGGGAGGAGATCGGGAAATGGTGGAGAGGCTGGGAGGAGAAGCAAGGGTCACCAACTATGAAATAATGTCAGATTTCTGTAGTTGGAGGAATGGCGTGGGTGGGAGAAATCAAGTCAATGCCAAGGAGGAGCTCGGGTAGGAGACTAGAGCTTCAGGCCAAAGCAATTTCATATTTCTGAGATTGGATTTTGGGGAGGAGAGGGGGGGGGGGCAAGGAAAGTTAATTTGAAAATCAAATTAGTTTCCAAAGGAAGTGCCAATGGTTAGTGAGGGATTAGAGGTTTAATGGGAAGCAATTAATGTAATTGAAAAGGGAATTAATGGGCAAGGGTGGCCGGGCATATAGCAAGGAGAGAGAGACTTTGGAATTTAGAAGGTGGGGCCCACATTTGAATAAATAATTCCCCAATCAATTCTAAAATTGTAATTTCAGATTTGATTATATATTAAGTAACTCCCAAAATTGAGTTATTAAGAAGGAATAGAATTTGAATTTCAAAATGAGCATTTATCCCCTTAAATGTCTTTCTTAATTGGATGAAGACCAATTAGGAAATTGACTTAATTAGGGGGAATTTGAAATTCAAACACGTTTGGGTCCAAGGAAAAAAAAACGACGGCAGGTGGCTGCTGGGTTGGCGGGCAAGGGGTCACGGTGGCTGCTGGAATTGGGGAGTGGGGGGGTCGGCAGAGGCTGTTGGCGGGAGGAAGCAATTGGCCAGCGGCCAATTTCCTGGACGGAACACAGGTCCAGCGGCAAAGAAATTTTGGTGAGGGAATTCCTAAGCTGGGAAACTGGATGAGAAATTTGGAGGAATTTCGAAATTTCTAATCGCACACACTTCTTCTTCAAGATCTCAATGGGATTGTAGGGATGTCGGAACTCACACAGAGATCCACAAAACTCCCCTCAAGAACTCACGAAGAGAACTAGGGAAGTTGAGAACTCACAAAGAGATCAATAGTAGAAAAATTCATTCAATCAATAATCCTTCATACAAGATACAATAGCCATATAAATAGGCTCCAAATGACAACAACTACAAAAGTCTAATATGCCCCTTGGGCTACAAGAGAAAACAAATACCCACAAGGGTAAAATGGGAAAACTGAAAATAAATAAGCAATATATAAATTGCAAATACAAATAGTCATCAGTAGTAAAGGCTCTCTATCATGGCCGTCGAATTCCGGTGTCGTCTCTGATAGACGCGCCGGAATCTCCTGTCGATGCCCCCATCACGGCGGCTTGGAGGATGAGGGGGAGCCGATGGTGGAGCGTGGGTGGTTTGTGGTCGAGGTTGGGAAAGAGGGTAGGAATAGGGGGGTGGAAGAGGGGATGGGGCTAGGGTGGCCGGCGACTAAGGTGGAAAGGGGAGGGGGGAAAGAGGAAGATAGGGAAGAAAAGAACCAAGAACCCGAATGCTTCCAAGGTTGGTGGGTGTTGCATTGCCCTTCACCAAGGGACTTCCCCAAAGCTCTCTCCAAGAACTCTCAAACTCTCACAAGAGCAAAATAATCTTCATTAACCTCATAAAAGGGAAAAGAAGGCTATAAATAGGCCTCCATACAAGAACAAAATAAAAGACCAAATTACCCTTGGGGTTACATGCATCTAGTCCCTCAAGTGAGGGTAAAAACTGAAAAGAACATTAAAATAATAAAATTACAATACATCAAGTAGCCGTAGATCTTCAATGTCTTCTTACGCTAGAATCTCCTGTAGATGTCCTCATCAATTAACCTTGTGAACATACAGTAATGTATACTCTCTTCCCCAATATTTTTAGATTTTTCTCATTTCCATTTAGGCTTTTTTTCAAAGAAATATTAGTTCTTATTCTTATCAAAATATCAACTAATTATCTTGCCTACCCATTCAAAGTTCTCAAATTCAATATAACAAATCAAATCTTGAATTTAAACTTAGTCAACCATAGCTTACTTTTCAGCACAATCGGGTTAACTTGTAGGGTATTATTTGGTGATGTCCTAGTCCAAAATTATCAACTTTTCACCACAATCAGGATAAGTTGTATAGTTTCACTTAAGGTGGCATGTTAGCCCACCATCATCTATTTCTCACCACAATCAAGTTAGGACCGTTACTTTTAGGAAAATAACGGCTCTGCATGCCTACCATTGAATTAACTGAAAAGACACAATTCAAGCATCCCATACTTTAGTCCACACATTCAAAATCGTGAAAAACAAATGATGTACTTATCTGATGCAGAAGTGTTTGCAATCAATAAACCACAGCTCATTTAATTAAGATTTTAAGAAATCCTTACTAAATGCCACTAGACTTTAAATGATAATGCTAGAAATTATAGACCTTCGAACACAATGAAAATTTCATTTTCTAGGTTATGCTTTGATGATCAAAACTTTGATTTGCACTAATCCTAGCTACTAAAAAATAAAAAACATAATTATAGACCTTCGAACACGATGAAAATTTTCTTTTCTAGGTTATACTTTGAGGACCAAAACTTTGTTTCGCACTAATCCTAGCTGACTAAAACATGGATGTGCTGTGAATAAAACAATGTATTCAAAGGCTAATCATCAGCTTCATCAACAGTCAAATTAAAACTTAAACAAAAGTAACAACCAGACAATTTCTGATTCTAGTGTTGCATATAAAGAGAATGTCAAAATAACATTTATTACAAATAGACCAACGTAACAATGAGCAAGTGATAATCGTCGCTGTAAACTTGGCAATCATGCTCAATGTCAAACATTTAAGTGAAAAAGGCTAAGGAAAGTACTTAACTATGAAAACATTAAAGTTCAGAAGAGAATTAAGAACCCCTGGAATCCTGGATTGCATCTAACCTCATGTTCTATCATAGCACAAGAACTAAAAAGTCACTAAAAAATGAAGTTTAATAATAACAAACATCATAATCACATTCAAAATATTTCTGGTTGTCAAAATAATAAAAATCTACTAACTGGACAAACAAAAAATATCTACCGCAACGAGGTCTTACTTTACAGAAAACATGCTAATCAAACAAGTCAGCTATTTTGGTATAGCTTCATGCTCACACTATTTAGATCCTCAATAACAATGAAGATGAAGATATGAACTAACTAGGGATCACTTTCAGTGCTCTTAGAATTCAAAGTAAAGCAGGTGCACTTATCTTTGATAGCTTCAGTTTCACTCCCATATTCTTTGAACCTATATTCTTCCTGCTTAAAAGCTGAAGGCACCTTTCCTTCACTGTAGCAACGGTTGCAAAGGCTAAAGTGTTGCCTTGCCTCCCTAAACCTGGATCCAATGATTGGATATTGGCATATGGAGCAAGTATGCTTACCATGACGTATACGATCACCTATTTCAAGCTTAACCAAAGTGCTTAAAATTCCAAAACCCCAATCTTGATCATTGAAAATCTCCAGAAACTCACTAAAGGAGATCATAGAGGGATCGGATTCTCCATGCAGCTCCATCATGTCACTGACACCATGGGAAGGGATATACACAGCTCTCAACAGTTTGATATACGAAATCGCATCATTTCTCCTGACCAGTGTCCCCCTGCCTTCATTGGTTTGCCGCCATAGGAGGGCATCAAAGACTACCCTTTTTCTCCTATCAGTTGGGCCAGAGCAAAGAGGAGCAATGACAGCAAAGAAGATTCCCAAATCCACACGACCAGAGCCTGAAGCATCCATGACAGATAAAATCTTCTCATTAACTGCCTTTACAGATCCTTGGAATGTTTCCGCCTTAAGAAACTGAAGCAGCTTTTGCAGGATCATTTCCAAGCCAGCCTTTCTGATAGATTTTACTGGAGCACCACTACCAGAATACGATAAAGGAACATTAGTCTCACTCATTTCCTTCTTCAATTGTTCAATATCACAGTGGTCTAACCTAGTAAGCCTCTGGAAAGCCCTGATCTCTAAAGCATTCGCAAGATCCTGCCTCAGAGTTGTTTTCCTCCCAATCCTCTTAAACTTTGAAGCATCCACCACGAGAAACTCTCCCTCGCTATCAACACCACTACCACTACCTTTGCCGTGCTTCCTCTTCTTATGCAGCATCTTAAGATGAGCAATTGCATCATAAACCTCCAACCTCTTGGTCATCTTGAATGCCTCCTTAAGAGCCTTCTTGGCCTCCTCATTTTCACTGGCACCCAACAAAGCTACAGCCTTGTTGAGTTGAGCCCTCCAACTATTAGGTCGAACAGCCAAAACCCTAGTGTACATCTCTGATGCCCTCGCAAACCTCCCAGCGTCCATTAACAGGCCCCCAAGGTTATACAGCGCATCTACATGGCCGGGCTTGAGATCAATCGCCTTCTGAAATTCTTGAATTGCGCGCTCGTCCTCACCCATCGCATGTAAGGCGGAGCCTAGATCGCAGTGGGCATCAGCATAGTCGGGCCGTAAAAAGACAGCTTCTTCCAGAGCCTTCTCGGCGGCACGGTACTCGCCCACACCAAAGAGCGCGCTTCCGAGTAACTTCAGGGCGCGAAAATGAGTGGGGCAGAGAATAGCAGCCTCGCGATAATGCTCGCAAGCGTTCAGAACCATGCCCTCTCCCTCGAGTGAGATCCCGAGGTTCACATGGATCTGGGGTAAAAGCTGAGCCCACTGGTTGCCGCTTGCCTCGGCAGCCTCAAGAGCCAGGAGAAACTCCTCCTTGGCTTCACCGTGGCGGCCAAGGGCGTAGAGCGCGGTGCCTGCGCGGAAATGGGGGCGGACGTCGGTGGGAACAAGCTCGCAGGCTCGGCGGAAGCTGTTGAGCGCCTCTCGGAAGAGGTGATGCTCATAGAGGGATCGACCAATGGCCATGTGCGCGTCGAAAGCCTCATCGCGTCCCGCGGCATCGGCGCGACCGCGGAGTGCGGTGAGTTCCTTCACGAAGACGGTGTAGTCTGCGCTGGACTCGTCCCAATGGAACCGCCGATCCGCGTGATCGATCTCCCGCGACCATCCCGCCTCCGAAAAGGAATCGAAGTTGTTATTACCATTGTTGTTGTCGGAACTGGATTTCTGGATTTGCTTGGATCGAAGGCGCTTGACGAGGATTTCTAGGTCATCAAGAAGAGGCCAGGTGGAATCGAAGGCGATGCCGTGATTAGGTGAAGAAGAAGCCCAGGGGGCGGCGGAAGCGCGCTTTGGAGGGAAAGAGGGATCGATGATGGACGAGGTGGATGGGTCATCGGCGGCGGAGAGGGCCGCAGCGGCGACAGAAGTAGCTGATGGAGAAGAAGGGGAAGGGGAATGAGGGAGAGAGAGAGATAGAGCATCAAAGTCACGGTCAACATCTCCGGCGCCGTCATCGTAGGTTCGGAGAAGGCCGTGCAGCGTGAGACCAGCCGGTTCATCGATGAAGTCGGAGTAGGTCCGGAAGACCTCGTCGAGGATAGCGGAGATCTGTTCGTCGGAGAATTTCACACGAGGATTTACGGCCACCACGAGCGCCGCCATCTCTTCGCGATTCAGGCCGCCGTCTCCATTAGAGTCGAATCTCTCAAATATGCGTCGGACTTTCTCCGCCCGAAGATTTCTCGCCGCCGACGACATCTCTGCGGCCGCAGACGGCCGCCGCTTTACCCTTATCTTTTCTGCCTTAGTGGCAAAGCTCTGCCCTTTTCAGAACTTTGTCATGTCGCTTTCGTGGTGGAGGGCGGCGGTGAAGGAGAAATTGAAGGTAAAAACCAAAATAAGTTGATTAATTAAGAGCGGTTTGTCCGTCTCAAAAAAGTGTAACGAAAAATTATTTTGTTAAATAATATTAATAAACTAATAGTCATTAATTATAATAATTATTTTTTAAAAATTTATTTGCCATAATAATGTCCCAATTAGTTTAAGAGTTTAAATTATATTAAATTCAATATTTAATTATATATATAATATTTAATTATATATATAATATTTAAATAAATGAATCAATTGTTTTCTTATATGACAAAGTATAGCTAAAAATTTATTTTGAATAAAATTATCTTAATTATACAATTCTCATTAAATTTGTAAGTCATTGGAACCTAATCTATATATTTATTCAAATCTACTTCAAATTCCTTTCATAGTTCTCGTCATAGGAGCTGGTGATGTTCACATTGATGCCTGATTGATTCATCAATGAATGCCCCTTCTGAGCTCCCAACACGAACTACTTACACAGCTCACCTTGGCCTGTTGGTTGAGAACTTATGCTTCCAACTAAGAGGTCTTGGATTCGAATCTTTGTGTATGTGAAGTGTGTATGAATTTGTCTTAAATGATCTAAATGTCCCAAAAAAAATAAAAAAATAAAAAGAACACGAACTACTTTTCTACAAGCAACAATGATTTTATCAACACGAACTACTCTTTTTCTTCACATAACATCGATCTCATCAATACTAGCCCTAACAAGTTCCCAATAGGATTATCTCTTCTCCTTCAAAAAAAAAAATTTTTCTTTTGAAGAAAAAAAAAGACAGATGTGATGTGATTTATTTTATTTATTGAGTTTAAAAATCTCTGTTTAAATTTAAAATAAATTTTCATAAACCATTTTATTATTGTTTTAAAAAAAGGAAAATCAATCAAATTATGACGAGCTAAACACGCCATTAATGATGATTTGGAAAAGCAGATAAGGTTTTCCATTGACAGCGATGGACCATCTCATCAGCACCAAACAACGCAATCAATGCGCTGGATTTCTTTCTCAGGCTCAGTAATTACTATTTACAACTAATTTTTTCTATTAAATTTTAGAATATTTTTTTCATAACTGTTAGATAATTTTTTAATTAATGATTGCACAATTATATGAAATAAAAAAATTTTGATCAACTTTCTTAAGATTTTTTAAAATATTTTTTTAAATTTTTTTATAATTATAAACTAAAAACAGTAAAAAAATTATCCCAAAAAAAATTTATGATTTCATTTGAGATATTTTTTTACTGCATTTATTAAAAATAATAATAAATTAATAATCAAAAGCTCTCCAGAACCAAGCCTAAATAAGATTCCATTGATCATTAAATAAAAATTAATCACAAAATTTAAATCCTCCAAAACCTGCAAGTGAAATTAGAATTAATATTGCTTAAAAATATAATATAATCATATTTAATTAGCATAAATCAATAATGAAATTTTAATATAAAAAAACTAAGAAAAAATCATCAAATAATAAACAAGGAAGATCTCAGATCAATATAAAAAATCCGTCATATAATAAATCCTCGAAAAAACTGAAAAAAAAAAAAACAAATCTGAAATTTTATAAGCAACAAATCCATTTACACAAATAAAAATTTATTGCTTGGAATTTACTGTTTATCAGGCATTAAAATCTTAGTATTGGCGACCTCTAAACTTTCCACGAAAAGTCTTGCGAAGGTTTTGTAGATAGACAGAACAGTATCCCAACAAATTGGCATATTCAACAAGTCTGTAGGCATTGAATCAACGACAGAGAATACCCCATAAACAGAACAAGAGAAGCATGAGACAAAAAAAAAGCACGGTTGGGACAGTTTTTTTACTGTTTCTTAAATCAACTTTTTAATAAAAAATTTTCATCCCAAAAGAAGTCTTAGGCTTCGTTTGAGACGGCTTTCTTACTGCTTCTTAAAACGGCTTCTTAATAAAAAAAATAATAAGAAAAAAAGTCCATAGTGATATCATCATATAAACATGTAATAAATAAAATAAAAGTAAAATTTTCAATTACAAAAAACAATCAATAAATCATCAAATTATGATTTACACGCATCTACTGTTTTACTAACCCAAAAAACAAAAACTACTATTATTTCCTAAAAATTATTTACACAACCACATAATTGTGCTAACATCCCTAAAATGTCTTCTAAATCTACACGCAAGGATGATTATTTTGAGTCAATTGATTACAATAAGTCAATAACAACAAGCCTTTATCCCATTATGTGGGATTGACTACATGAATCCTTTTTTCTTCATTGTGTCCCGTTAAGGATCAAATTCTCATCTAAATCTAATTAAAAAAAAAAGTCATTTTTAATATATCTAACCAAGTCTTTTTTAGTCTACCTATACCTTTCTCAATATAAGTCAAATCTACTACATCTACTTTCCTAACTAGGTCATCGGAAGGGAAAATTATTAGGTATTAGGTCCGGACATCCGACCTAAAAATAAGTCTGAATATCCAATTAAAATTTGACACATGGACTGCACTTTGACTGCAGTTTCACTGCGCTTTACATGCACTTTACCTGCGCTTGGCACGCTTGACTTAAAATTCCACTGACACATGTACCTTCCACATGTCAATATTTTATTGGAGTCCGGACGTATCTCTACGTCCGGTGTCCGGACCTAATAATTTTCCCATCGGAAGGCCACTGTTTTATGTGACCAAATCATCTAAGACGACTCTCTCTAATCTTATCTTCCACTGGAGCTACTCCAGCCTTCTATACATTGTTTCTCCCAAAATTGTTTTCAAATTGCAAGTGTTAGTTAATCAGCACTGCAACAACTGAGGCAAGAATCCTTCCTTTCTCATAATCACAAAAGAAAGGCTCAGGTCTTAATATGCAAAAGAATTGCAAAGTAGAAAACCTGAAGTTGGAGCAACTAACCTCGAAGGAGCAGCAACTTCTTCATCCAAGAACATAGATTTCATAAGCATATTGTATAACACATGAGCATGGTTCTTATTCAACAAGAATTCGAAAAATGTCATCACATCCTGAAGACACCAAACTTGGTATCCTCAGGACTATGCTTGATGGAAGCAGACAAGCACAAGCCTAAAACCCTCCTGGTATCAGCTGGATCAATGATGCCATCATCCCAGAGCCTCGAGGTCGAGTAATAAGCGCTTCCTTCCCTTTCATAGGCTTCCACTACACTAGCTTTGAAATTCTCTTCTTCTTCTTCGCTCCACTATATTAAACATAAAATAAAATAAATCAAGTGAAACTAGATTGTGTGGCAGATGGCTTATGTATAATCCTTACATGAGGAAAATATTATCAACTCGCATGAGGCTTCAAATTTAGTTTCATGTTGGATAGTTGAAAAATATATTAGTGTAGAAATATCAAATAGTGATTCTTATTCATAAACTTAAGCTTTTGGGTTGGAAAATTAATTTTATTATTAATACATATAACTCAACTTTAATCAACATTAGGCTTCATTCGGGACGGCTTTTTTACTGCTTCTTAAAGCAGCTTTTTAATACAAAATAAAAAATTTGTACTAGAAAGCTGCTTTAAGAAGCATTAAAAGCCTTAGTTTCATCTCACTTAGACTTTCGTTTGGGGCGACTTTCTTTCTGCTTCTTAAAGAGGCTTTCTAATACAAAAATTTTTATATTAAAAAGCTGCTTTAAAAAGCAGTAAGAAAGCCGTCCCAAACGAAAACTTAAAACAGAGAACTTAAATGCTGGCCAAGGGACGGTCCTTCCCATTTTCTCTCTTATATATTGGCAGTTTTTAGTAGATAAAAAAAAATGACGTTGCTTTCCAATTAGATCATTTCAATTTTAAGCGTATGAACTACTTAATATATAAGAGGATGAAGAAAATATGCTACCTTGATTCCTTGCTTTTTCTTGTTGTTTTTTTCTATCTGCGCAAGGACGCCAGCTGCCTAAAGAGAAGAAACATTAAGAGACGTCAATGCAATGAAAAAGATTGTGGATCAATTGTCCATAATTACAAAAAACTAACAAAGTGATAGAATAATAGTGAAAAAGATTTTCGTAATACTGCAAGCAAAGCTACATGGGATGCATTTAGATTTCGTTTGGGATAGTTTTTTTCTGCTTTCTAAAATAATTTTTTAGTACAATAAATTTGATAAATTAGAAATTTTTATACTAGAAAACTATTTTAGAAAGCAGCAAAAAAGCTGTCCCAAACGAAACCTTAATATGTGATAATATCTGCTTCAACACCATGTTTAGCCGTTTCACAACACACCATATTGCCGGCAAACTTCTAAATGGACCAAGATGAAGTTCAAGGATAGATTATTTTCAAAGTAATAATGCAGAGCATGGGTTATGTAATAAAGTCTTGGGCACAAGAGGCATCATCTCAAACTCAACAAAATACGGTCAATTTTATTGGGAAGTTTCTGATATGCTTTCGAATTATATAAGATAAATAATCTGAAGTAGGGGAGTTATTAAAATCATCCTGTGTTATAATATTCCACTAAGCTGATTTTAGTGGAAGAAAACTTGGGCTACAACTGCAAGATTTCAACAAAATCAGCTTGCGACAAATACAGCAACTTCGGCCTTCCAAATAGAAAATCCAACATTTAACAAACATTTTAGAACTTTAAAGGTCAGAACTTTCCTGTTTACATTTACATAGTAACCCACTCAGAAAGTATGATTAACGTGAGCAGAAAATAAGCCATCAACATTCAATAAGCCAGAAGAGAATATTACTTTGTTTCAAAGGTTTTATATACTTTAATGCATGGTAGTAGTTAACAACAAAATTGGCTAAAGTTGCTACCTGAGCACCACCCATAACAGATATTTTGGCAGTGGGCCAGAGAAACAAGAAATCAGGACTATATGCACGTCCACACATTCCATAATTTCCAGCACCAAAACTTCCACCAACTATTATGGTTATCTTTGGCACCTGCATAACATTTAAACGAGGAGTACAAGTGAGCATGCAATAAGCTGTAAAACCTGAAGAACAAATGCTTACTTCCCTGGTCAGTGCACACTGTAACATGTAAAATTTGCGAGATTCTAACCTTAGCCAAGAATATTAGGAGTGAAGCAGTGAAATCTTTATTCTTTCTCCAAAAATTCACAGAAAATCCAAATAATGGAGTTGAAAATTTCAAAAAAGAATATATAACGCAACAGAAAATTAAAATGATAAACATCAGCTAAAGCTGATGTACCTATGGACAAAGTTCCGCGTAAAATTCTAGACAGTAAATGAATTCAGAGCAGAAAGATTGTTAAAGTTAGAGATGCAGACACATGAAAAAAGGTAAGGATAGCACACAGCTCACCTTGGCATGTTGGTTGAGAGCTTAGGCTTCCAACTAAGAGGTCTTGGATTCGAGTCTTTGCGTATGCCGAGTCTTCTGTCAGTATGGCGTTGTGTGTTGTGTAAATTATGATACTAATGGACAACCATCCTGACCCTCCCTCCCCCCCCAAAAAAAAAGAAAGAAAAGGGAAAGGGTAGAGCATCACACTTTGAACATGATTTAGCTCCAGCTTTAGCAATGCCACCTGCCTCCGATTTGGATCCTACCTACAAATCACCACAAATATTCCCAGATGACACATTAAAAAAGAGCAACACGAAAAAATACAAATATAAATCTAAAACAAAAGCTGAAAAGAAATGTTTGGCATGTTCATGATTATTCCCAAATCATACCATGAACCCTGTTATATTCTGAAGAAATATAATAGGAATGTTACGCTGTGCACAAAGCTCAATGAAGTGAGATCCTTTTAAAGCAGATTCAATGAATAATATTCCATTGTTTCCAATAATTCCTACTGACTGGCCATAGATTTTAGCAAAACCTGTTACAAGGGTCTGACAAAGCATGATATATAAGGACAACAGCTATGAAATCAGAAGAAGATAAATTCACTGGATGAATATTCAGCCATTATAGGTCCTTACAGTGCCATAATACTTTTTGAATTCATCAAACTCACTACCATCTGCAATTCGAGCAATTATGGATCTAACATCAAATGGCTGTTTTTGATCGGTTGGTGCAATTGATCGAAGCTCATTTGCATCATACAAGGGCTCTTTGTAGTCAGAAGAAACATAAGGCGATGTATTTAACCCTTTCCCTGCCATATGCAAGTTCTTCAAAATATTTCTGCCAATAGCCAGGCCATGAAGCTCATCTGCATCAAGTTCAACCAGAGTTAGGATAAAATTAGGATGCAGAATTCAAGAAAACTTGAAGCATCAAAACAAATGAAGTGCAGCTTTAAGCCCAAGTACATATTGAAATGAAAATGAAAAACAAAACAAATCAACGGGAACACAAAATAATAATTTGACACGCCGTCGCAAGAAGCCAATTGAATTAACGTTCAAAGATAAGAGTACTACCGTGTGCAAAGTGATCCGAAACTCCTGATATTCTGCAGTGCATAGACGCACCACCCAGATCCTCAGCAGAGACCTCTTCTCCTGTAGCAGCCTATCAAAATTGACCCTTCAGAAAACCTATATTTCAGGAAAACAATATCTTGAATTTGCATCAGGTAAGATACTCTTATTTCGGTCGAAAATGCAGTATGCATTATAACTGCTAATGGAACTGACCTTCACAAGTGGAGGGCCAGCTAAAAAAATTGTCCCATTTCCTTTGACAATAACACTTTCATCAGCCATTGCAGGTATATAAGCACCTCCAGCAGTGCATGAACCTAAAACTAGTGCAATCTGGGGAATCCCCTCAGCTGACATTTTAGCCTGATTGTAAAATATTCTTCCAAAATTATCACGGTCAGGAAAGACATCAGCTTGCCTTGGCAGATTAGCTCCTCCACTATCAACAAGATATATGCATGGCAGTTTGCACTGGGCTGCAATTTCTTGAGCTCTTAAATGTTTTTTAACAGTAATAGGATAGTATGTTCCACCCTTCACAGTGGGATCATTAGCCACAAAAACACACAGGCGGCCTTGCACGGGTCCAATTCCGGTAATTATCCCACCTGATGGTAATGGTTCTTCATAAAGATCATATCCTGCAAGCTTTATGATAAAGGAAAGATTTAAATCAGTGGAGCAAATCAGTATAGGAAAGATGCAAGTAAAAATAAGTTCACAATTTTCCAGTAGATATCCATTGCTGCATGTTTATTGATAACTAAATCTAACAAATAACATACCCGTAACAAATGCTTTTTCTACAATCATTTGATATCATCTAAAATTTTAAAATGACATGCGAAAGGTTTGTAGATCAAACAATTCCAATCTCTCCATCTCATCTCACTTACGCACTTTTATGCATCTACTTTGAAGCTATTCCACTTCAACTTTTTAGGTCAATTAATAATATACCTGATGATTAAGTTCATTATACTCTTCTAAAAAATTATTCCATGAAAATAATGTATGATACCAAAATAGCATTTCCATTTTTACATGATGCATTCATCTTCAACTGTGATCCTAATAGCTTTGCTTTAGCATATGTTACTTGATCAAAGTTTTTAGATCTCCAATCTTTTGCCTTTGCTATTTTATATATGTTTTCTTTATTAATAGTACTTAGCAATTAGCATATTATATAAATCATAAGTTGTTCTTTGCTTATTAACCTTTGCTTTTAAGGCTTATAGCTCTATTGTGATCAACTGATCATTCTAAACCTCACAAATATTTATCTTTTCCACTCATTGAAGCAAATTTATTTCCCTCAATAACATTTTATGCTTTCTCAATCCACCGCCATGTCATCTTAATTTAATACAACCACTTTCTAGACTCTCCTAGACTTATGATGGGGATCTAGGATATATGATTACTTGCATGGAGATTCAATCTTTATAACATCATGGCCACTTGATACTTATGCTCCAAGTTTCCATCTTTATAACCAAAATGACCTTAATCCAACAGTTCAATCACAGTTATGGATCTTGAAGAAAACATCCAGGTGCCTAATTGACTGCAAAAACTGGAATAAATGCTCAAATCACCATCATCACCTATCTCCAAGCTCCGACTATATTTTCAGTTGTCTATAAACCCAAGGAAATTTTATTTTTAAAGAGCTTCCTTTAATAATGCATTGATGCGATTGCGCTTCAAACCATCCATTTGTCAAATAGTCATAGTTCTCTTTGCCCCCATCATCATATTAACAAATTGCACACCCTTGGAACTTTCAAACGACAAAAGCACCATTAAACTCTTCCATTTAAGGAAATATTATTCAAAAACATCTTTTGGAGAGAATGTCACTCATTTACATGCCCATTGATTTGTTGAATTAGCAAAAATTTTTGTAACTAATATTTATGGATATCCCATATAGGATCAAGATAAGACGTTGACTCTCACTCAAAAGCAAATTCTCTTATTTCTCTACCATTGCATATACTTTCCTAAAAGATTTCATGTATTCTCACAATCTCACCCTAAGGGACTGCTTGGCAACAAGTAGGATTTAACTTTCGTAGGATTTACTAAATCTGGATTTAGTAAATCCTATGTATGTTAAATACTAAAAATTGTTTGCCAAGATAGTAGTCAAATCATGCTAAATCATGTGAAACTGTTTGGCAATGTAATCAAAGATTTAAGATGGTTAATTCATTTAAAAATTAAATTTAATGTCTTTTGAATTTAATTTGTGTTAAGTACGAGTTACTAATTAATTTTAATTACCGCCAATAACTTATAGTTATCAAATAATTTAACTAATAGTTTAATTATTATTTATAGTATTAATTATCAAACTACTTATTTAAATGTTCATTTAACAAGTATTTCAAATCTAATTATATTGATAAAAATCTAATTTAGTTTTTTTTAATAACTATTTATGGAAGTAGTACTCATATTAATAATTTTATTAATTATTTAAGTACTGTTTAATTAGATTTAACTATTAATAATATTATTAATTGACTCATTAAGCATTTAAATATTATATTATTAATTAATTATTTTATTATTATTTACAATGTTAATTTATATAAATTAATTATTCAATTTGAAATTCTAAATCCTAAGCTAATTATATTAATTTTTAGTTATTAAGAATATTTTGATTATTTAATTAAGGTTAAATGGATTATTTAATTATACTACTACTTATTTAATTAATTTAATTAATTATTAATATTTTAAATTATATTAATTATGCTAACTTAGATTAATTGGATAGAGGGCCTAGGCTTTTAATCTCCCTTTCTTCGTTGTTGTTACCTATTGCTTTTCCTCATCTTTTCTTCATTATATCTTCGGCCTCACATGCTTTGTGTGAAGAAAGGTGTTGAAAGAGTCGCTAAATAAGCTTCTTCACCTCCTTCTTCGAAGATGCAAGATCGGAGGTCATGTCGGTAGCTCGCTCGCTGCGAAGGTAACCATCTTCACCTCCTCCTCCAAGAAGGTCGCTCACACGGTCGCAAGCTCGCAGCAGGAGAACTTTGCAAATCCAGTTAAATACGCCGAACAACAGGATTTAGTAAATCATGGATTTACGCCATAAATCCGCAAATCCAGGATTTACAATCGATTCGGATTTATTGTGTACTATCAAACCGTTTGGCAGGATTTAGCACAAATCTGGTGTAACTCCTGCTTAAATCCCCCTACCAAACATCGCCTAAGGGCTGCTTCATTGACATAGGCATCAAAGGCTTCCAAGACCTCTGACCTCTGCTAGTTGTGTAATAATACAGAACATGTCATGATTAGAGTCGCTACATGCATGATGCCCAATCACTGCAAGCCAGCCTCTCTCACGCAACAACAATTATCGACCCTATCTTGGTGTTTGAGAAATTAAAAAAACATGTAGCATTGCGATCTAAGTAGTTACAGAATACAAAAAAAGTGGAATCGCCAATTGGCATCCAACATCGAAATAGCCATAGCAATAACAAAAATAATATGAGACGGCCAGAACAAAAGAACCCGAGAATGTTATTTGGTAAAAACAACAACCTGCGACAACTCCAAGAAAGACGAACCAGGGTCGATTACTCGATCAATCCGCTCCCGAGGCAATAGCTTATTACGGCTTCGATTCCTTCTGACAGCCTCGGCTCCCCCACCACCGAGGACCTTGAAAACACGGAAAATTAAAAAAATAATTAAAAAAAAATAGTAAGCAATAATAAATAAAAAAACTTTCAGTCGCTATTTCCCCAAATAACAACGAGCAAAGGTTAAAAGTTAGGGTTTAGATTAACCTTCTGAATATGTGATCGTAGCTGGGAGAGTAAGCCCTCGGCATTAGCGGCGTTGCGAGCGAAGGCTTCCGTGCTACGATCCACGCCATCGGGGAGCACAGCCGAGCTAAGTGCGGGCGATTTCTGCCCAGGTCTCAAAGAAGAAAGTGGCAGCCCCCTCCATGATCGCCTCGCATTGAAGCTTCTAAGCATCCTATACGCTCGCCCCTTTTTCTCGCGCGCAAGAGATCGGAGAAGAAGAAGACGGCATCCATCCCAAATCAGATTTTTATAGATTTATTATTACTCGATATTTTGAATATGGAAGACGGCTCCGAGCGGATAAGCTTTAGGGCAATTTATATTATCCTTCTGTCGTCTTCTCCGCACTCATTTCACTGGTTTATTAGTTAATGCCACCAATTTATATATTAAATTTAAAAGCATATAGTATTATAAATAATATTGGATGAACTTTTAATATCAAAACTTAATGAGAATAAATCTTAAATTTATTAAATTTATTTCAAATAAATATAATACATAAATATCCATAGTAATCAAAGTAAAATCATATAAATCAAACTTATATAACTTGAATGATTTTTTGTTAAATCTAAAAGAACAAAATAATTTTTATTTAGCTATTGTTTTCTTGCCATTTTTATCATTTTTAACAAAAAATATGATAGAAAACGGTGTTCTGCAATCATAATAGCAAAATTTATTTAAGTAGGATTTGCAATTTAAAAAAATATTAGTGGCATTGAGCAATTTTTGTTATTTCAAATTCAGCAATAGCAAATTTCCAGTAAATTCACTAATTCAGCAAGATGCGAGAGGTAATGCGGCTTACTTAACAATCTTCACAATTTGTTTGCATTACAACCAAACTTTTTCTATTTCAAATTCACTAATTCAGCAACTGATTATTTTGTATTAGAGCCAAGAGTCAACCATAAATCAACTAAACTTAACAAAGTTGTATAAAGTGTAAAATTGTAAACTAACTTAGTCTAACTCTAAACTTAACAAATTTGCATTACAGACATCCATGAATCAAAATTATCAAACACAGCCTTACAAGTTACAGCCATTATTTTTGAAATGTAAATTACAAATAAAGTTCAACACAATTACATTTCACAAATTACAAATCTTTGAATTTACTGCAGGATCTGTCTTCAAGTAGGATTAACTGCAAAAAGAAAATGATTAAATAGATAGAATTCTAAATCATGAGATAGTAAAAAGCTTAAGTAAATATTGCTCAAATTAACCCTCCAACTCATCCAGCAACGAATAAAATGTGAGTGAATAACAAATATTTCTATTATCATCCAAAGTGACAGTTTGTCTTAAGCTTAGCTTAGTAACTGATTCTTTTTTAATTAGATAGTGTATGATTGGTCTAAGATAATATAAATGCCACATGATTGAAATAGTATTTACCCCAAGAGACTCTCACTTTCATTTTAGAAGGATTATCATCGTTGTTTAAGCTTTCATTAGCATCATAGATATGACATATTTATCCATTGTATGCTTTACCAAAAGCAAAGATGTGATTCTCCAAAAAATGCTAATCAATAGCCCCAAAGGGAGCAAGGTAAAGGGCTTTCTCGGATCTTAATGTTGACGATGTTCCGGACATAATGGCACTGTTCGTTTTGCGATCGGACGTCATTTCGTCACATACGAAGCTAATTTCCCTCGTAACGTGTGTCTTTGCATCATATTTAGATCGCCTTTGAAATTTACGACATCACATCAAACGATCCAATTTGATCAAATAAAATGTAGACTCTTAATGCCGACGACGTTTTGGACGCAATGGCGCTATTCGTTTGTCGATCAGACGTTGTTCGAGCATCTTCGAAGCCTCGTTTCTGTAGTAACGCGGACCTTTATATCATATTTGCATCGCCTAGAAATTCACCACCATCTCGGATGATCCAAAATTATTAAATAAAATGTATATCCTGAATGTCGACGACGTTCCGATGCAATGGCTATGTCCGTTTGTCAATCGGATGTCGTCCGAGCGTCTTCGAGGCCTCATTTTCCTAAAATGAGTATTATTATATTTAAATCACCTCGGGATTCGTGCCACCACTCCAGACGACCCAAATTGATTAAATAAAAAAGTATATTCTTAATGTCAGCGACGTTCCAGACACAATGGCGCTATCTGTTTGTTGATCCGACATCGTGTCGTCTCTGACGAGACTAATTTCCCTTGTAACGCGTACCCTCACAACATATTTAAATTACATTTGAAATTTGAGACACCACCTCAAACGATCCAATTTAATTAAATAAAATGTATATTCCTAATGCTGACGACGTTCTGGACGCAATGACGCTGTCCGTTTGTCGATCCGACATCATTTGATCAGCCTCGCGCTTTAATTTCGGGTGCTGGTACTCCCTTTTTGATTGATTTTGTCCAATTTAATTGCGATGGGCCTCGACCCAATAGAATTTATTGTCCTGATCGCAATGGTACCATCTATTTGGCATTCAGAGATCATTTGACCCCTTAAGTGATGTGTTTCGTCAATGTACACATTGTTTAAATCATCGTTTTAGCATCTTTTCGCCAGGTTTTATAATGTATAGGCCTCAACAGCATGGCAGGTGAAGCAAGCGCACAAAGAAGACACTATAACATATTTTCCAAAGTATGAAAACCTTCTGCCATTCCTTGGGATTGGGCCAGCTTGTCTATGTACCACCGAACTTCGCATGGCATCTGCCTTCCTCTGTGCTAACCTAAGCCTTTTCAGAATCTTGGGTTTCGAAGAAGATCTTCTCTTTTCTAATTTCATCTGATGAAAAAGTTGTAATTTATCAGCTTATAGGTCATTTAATTTCAGGAAATCAAACAACAAAATGCACAATTAAATATTATAAACTACCAAAGTAATTTCTAATCCTATATTTTAGCATTAAGCATAAATTAAGCAAACATGAAATTGCAAACTTGAAGCAAATTGTTGAGGAAAAACTCACTTCAAGTTTTTGTACTGCAACTTCAGCTTTTTCTTTCTGCTGGTTTTCCCAAGCTGTGACCTTAGCCTCCTCTCGATCATACCTAAGGGTGAGATACAAGATTTCAGGAACAGTTAGGAACTTATTATTACTAGTTTTATTGCACGTGCACACAGTGCACGTTGCTAGAAGTTAAAAAAAAAAAAATTACTTTGTTTTATGAAAGCTATTCCAAACGAAGCATAAGACTAACACCACTTTTCTATTATAAAAGCTACATCATCATACTCCACTAAATACCTATAATTGAATTAATAATACCCCATTTCAATCCAAAGTTCCACAAGCTCCAACCAGCCAAGTTTTAAAACCATCAGCTTGTAATATTCAAATGTTAACATAACTAATATTTGTGTTCTGAGAGTTTAAACACAAATATTGAAGGAAATTTAAATACAACAACAAAGCTTCGAATCTATTGATGCCAAAACATATGCATAAGGCTTGATAACCAGTTAAGGGATATCTGCAAAAGTGAATCAACATGAATAAATAAATAGCAATAATTCAATTTTTTAAAACACATAACACAAAGAATACTGTCAATGTACCTGTAATCTATCACATACTTAGATTATTCAACCCTTCCTAGTTGCAGAATTGTCTGCCTTTCATTCTTCTGTTGATTTAATACATAAACAATCTGCTTAGATTGTTCAACTGTTTGTGAGCCTATCATACTCGTCTCCTACTTAAGGAAATGTTCAAGAAATAGATGAAATTTTCAAAATTGATGAAGAGAAGACTCATGTTACTCATTTAGGGTTTAGGTAAAACCTAATTCAAATACAAAAGAAAAAATAGAAAGCTGAAAACAAAATCAACACATAAAAATGACATCCTCTTTTGTAAAGAAAAATTTAAGGATAGCAAAAAATGTATTGAAGTTCTCAAAACATCCTTAATAATATAAGTCACAAATATTAAATACCTTATCAACTATATCCAAGTATTATATTTTTTTTCTTGAGACAAATATTGAAATATGTTTTAGAAAATAATGATTTAACTGTCACTCAAAAAATTGAAATCATTAAAGGCAATGCTTTAAGAGCATTTGCATAGTTTAAGAATAATATTGATTTCTAGTTACGCCCAACAGAACATGGAAAAAAAATTTAAAATTTCACCTTTAGTTCAAAACATTTATAGCCAACTTTAAAAAAAATAAATGAGACAATGCTTCAAATGTAAAGCAATTTTCTTACGCAGCAACACCCATGAGACAAGATTGAGATTTCATGGAATCAAGTTTCCTTCCATGCAAACACGAATGACTTAGTTGAAAACTCGCACATTAAAACTGAAGAGAGTTTTCTTCAGCAGAAAGTGTAAAAGAGAGTGAAAAGTGAATCTGCTACCATATTTGGTACTTTGATCCCATTAGATTTGAAGTTATTTTTCCCAAAAAACTTTCATCTGAGCTGCAAAATAAAATGAAATGAAAAGTCCATTATGAATTTATTAAGAATCTATATCGTCCAAATAGACTATTGATTTGAACATTTGATCACTTTTTTTATTTTCATTAGCTCAAATTCATAACCTTGGTACTTACAAACAAATCACAACAGTTAGTGACCACATAGAACAAATAATTGCAGCAAATTACAATAGTCAGCGAGCACATAATATTAAATAATAGATAATAATACATCTAGATCATGTCCAACAGACAAAGTTGCAAGAAAAAGGCAAAACCACATCATACCAACGGGAACTCCAAGGCCTTTTCTTTGTCCCATTTGATAGTTGGGCGAATCTCTAATACCTGAAGGCAAAATAGCAGCAGATATCAAGTAAAATTCATGTTATAAGACAAGATGAATTGAAAAAATTTAAGTACAAAAAATGTAACAAAATGATTCAATTTATAAATTTTACACCTTTCTTCCTAAAGTAAGCTTAAACTTTGGGTATTCCTCCAGCACAAACTTAACTTGTTCAGCTAAAGCACTCGATCTCTCAGTAAAAAAAAAAACTTATATATAAAGCCGTTCAGCATATAGGATGCTTCGTCTTCCATCTTTTACTGTGAATGTTAGGTATACAAAGGGTTGAGGAAGTGGATTGGTAATGAAAACGGACTGGAACGCCAAAATTGAAAGTAATCACGATTGTGAGATCTCTCTCCTTAAGCAGCAATAGCTTGAGATTTGTTGAGGATGACACCTTCATATTTGACCTGGGATCATTTCATGGCATCATCCTTGTGGCACGATGCTGCACGCCGACACTAGACATGCAGCGACGGCGCCGGCTCAATCGGTAACAAGGACGCTATAGGAAGACGTAGAAGTCCATGCCATAGATTCCGGTTGAAGGATCATACTTGATACCAAGGTCAATATGCTCCTGAATGCCAAGTCTAAAGCATCCAGTATCACTGAAGTTTCTCCTGAGAAGCTCATATTCCTTAACTTTCAAACCACTTTTCAAGGAGTTGCATTGCCTTTTCTCCTCTAACAGTGACATAAAAAAGCAATTTTTTCATTACGCCGAATTCCAAAAGATCGGACAGTGTACCTGGCTTTGGAGAACACAGGACTTTGCCCACTCAACTGCTCCAACACCTTGGAAGCTCTAGCGAGGCGATCTCCGCTCTCTTCCACCGATATGTTGAGCACCAGCTTCTAAACCTTGATATCACGCATCGGATTAGATAGCTTCTTTTCTAATGCCATAGCTACGATCAAAGCAGTTTTGAGGAGTCGGCGGCGGAAGAAGAAGATTCATACCTCTCTCTCGACCGAAACAGGGTTGGGAAGCAGGCAGGTTCTCACGCGCGACGAAGAAAGAAGCCAGATGTGGTCCTAGCAGGCAGGAAGGCGGGTTATTTGAATAGGGGAAGTGCATACAAAGGGTTGGGAAATATTTGAAAGTGGAATATGAAGGGTTGAAACTGGAATACGAAGCGCTTGGATTGCTTTCATTTATGCCTATGACATAGGAAAACGGAAATTAGGAATCTAAGGGGCCATAAAATTAAATGAGTTTTATATAATGTGATTTTTTTGATTTATTAAATAATTTTAATAGAATGGATGGCCAAGATAATTAAAAAATAAGTAGAATGGATGAACAAGATTTGTTAAAGGAAGGAAACTCAAGCCCCTTTTATAATAGTAGTATAGATATTACATGTCAAGTAGAAATGTAGTGAAAAAAAATAACCAAATGAATAGTTTAAATTGATTAATAAAATTAAACACATAGGAAACAAGAAAAACATTTGAAATTTATATCAAAAAAATAATAGGTCATCTGAAGCAGTACAAAAAACTATGAAGCACCACAGTTTCAAAATAAACAAGAATCAAAAGTTTGCCTCAAACATAGAATGCCTACAAACAATTGTCAAAGGTTATACAATGCATATAAAATTATGTAGAACTAGTTGAGGATATAACATTCAAAAAAAAAAAAAATCCAAGTCATAACAAAAGAACTTACTTCGACAAGTGTCTTTTGGTGACAACTTCTTGATTAGATGCTGGAGATTCCACCATCTTCCTTTCCCGTTCAATGATATCAGTTGATATCCTATCAGAACACCACGAAAAATGTTTCTTAGACCACTTGGTCACCATTACCCTATCATCAACCTGTACATCTCTGATCTCTAGACATTGAAAATGGTTCTGCAAATTTGTAATTGCATGAAAAGCTGATGGAGACAGAGATGGAGAAAACCGTAACTTGGGGGAAGAATGCATGCTTCCCTCTGGACTTATCTGTGTGTCTACATCTCTTCTTATAGTAATGTGAGATAACATGGTAGCTGCTTCCTTAATGCAATCAAGTCTATCTGCTGAAAATTTTGACAATATATAATAGATCAAGACCATATATAATTAAGAATATGCATTCATTAAACACTCATTAGAAAATAAATCATTATAATATGAAATGTAAATCGTATTTAGAAGAAAAAAGAATAGGTTTAATGTTCATTCAGAAGTTCTTTGGTAGGACTCACTAATTCCAAAGGTAAAGTAAAAGCCTAAGGCAACCATCAATGGGTCAATTAGTATTCTTTTATTATGTTAACTGGAAAGATAAAATTGAAGACAATTCTACCATTAGATTTGGGCAACAAGGCACATGGCTCCACCAACATTTCTAGCCACCCACTGATCACACTTGTTGATGTGTCTCTATAAGCCTCCGAGTTAGGAAGATAAGTTTTTTTCTAAACCGTCATGACCTTCTTGTCCATCTCTTCCTTCGACATCGCCACCATAAAATTGCTGTTCAATCACCAGAACACCGGCCAAAAAAGGTGAATTAGCTATGAAGCTCGCAACCCTCCAATTTTCAAAGAATGGGAACTAAAGCAATGCTGGTTGACAAGATCCACCAGTTAATGCAAGAGTTCCAAGAGGGACTCTCTGTGAAATGGGCCGCCTTTGATAAGGTTGGAGCATCAAAGGCCTTCTTGAACCATCACAAGAAACTGGACTGCAAATCCACTTCTCGGTATCTTCCCATTTTGAAGGCATTGTTCTCCCATTATAAAAAGGGAACATAGGAGCATTGCCACCATGCGGCCCATACTTCCGACCACGGCTGGCCGACAATGGGATCCGTTCGGAGCTCCATCCTTTCTGGTAAGATGCAACTCCAGCACCACTATGCCGGAAGTTTGGAGTCTCAGGACTTGGGAACATGTTGGCTCTGCCACACGTAAAGGTTGAGTGACTGTTATTTGAGTAAGCGTCGTCTCCAGATAAGTGATGAAATGAAGAAGCAACTAAGTTTTGGCCATGGCCATTCAAATCAAGGGAGCCAAACCTCCAGCATCGATGCCCTGAGTTATGGTACTCTTCTACAAAGTGCATGGATAGTGGTAATTACCAAAGTATTAAAACTTGCAAGAGCTAATGGTTGTTCGAGATGACGAATAGCTCTCATAATGTGAAAAAGGTGCGAATTTGTGACTGTTCTTCTTGCACTAAATCTAGCCCTTGCTCTGCCATAAAGCAGAAAAAATACCTTTATGGTGGCGGACACGCAAGATAGAAGTGACAAAAAGACAATAGCGACCAATCTGACAGTGTGAGGATGAAAAATATCTGCAATCTCCAGCAGACAGCAGGTTGCTTTTTGCGGATAAAGTGTTGGCGATATATTTTTTAATGAGATTAATGGGTGCAATGAAGATTAGTAATAGTAAGATGCACAATTTTCAGGTTTAGAACTACCGACAACTCACATCCTGCTAAGACATTGCAACAAATTAAAGGCCAAGGACGGGTCCTTTCAGAGTTTCAGTAACGATAAAAAAGCTACGAAACACACAACTCTCCTTGGCCTATTGGTTGAGAGCTTAGGCAAAATGTAGATCAGGATGCGGAGGGGGCCGTGGGGAGGGCGCGAGAAAACAAGAGAATACCGTGAGGGATGATCGTAGACTCGGGCATACAGAGAGAGAGAAGGCAAATCGGGTCCAACGAAGATCTGCCGCCAAAACTTTCCTTTCGAATGCGAAACGGTACCGTCGTGAAAGCTACCATAATTACTTGAGAACAAAATTGGGGTATCATCGAGCTCCGGCTACCCCGTATCGAACTAAGGGATGCCCTCTCCTCTCACATATCCCTTCCTCCTCCACCTCCCTAAACCCTAATCCTACCGCGCCATATTGGACCACTGCCTCCTCATAGAGATCCCTTCTTTCTGTAATAATGGGGTACGTTCGAGAGCGGCTTAATTTTTAAAATGCTCATATATAAAATGTAATTAAGTAAACTAATATATATAGGAAAGAGTGGAAAATTATTTTGCATTTCTGAATAAAATTTAAAAAAAAAAACATTCTTTTCTTAAAAAATAAAATATTGCACCTTTACGAAGGATTGTGTTTTTTTTTTTTTAATATTTAGGCAAAACTCCCAACCAACATATCAAAATGAGCTGCAATTAAAGGAGTGTAGCATTGTGTTATGATATGATGGATTCATAAGATTAAAAAAATAAATACAATATATGTGATTGTCTCTAAGATTCCCACTTCACCTCTCTCCCTTCCTTCTTGCCTCATATCCTTTAATAATGTAGAATATTATAAGTTACATTAATAATAAAAAGTGTTAATTACACAAAATCATGATTTCAAGTTTTGATGAGGGGTTACTAATTTCATCACCAATTTGTTGCTTTTTGAGTCCAAGTTGGTGTTGTTAATGCTTGATTATAATCTTTTACATGCGAAGGTACTCATCTCTTACGCTAGCAACTTTTCAGGACTTTTCACGGCTTAGCTTAGCCTCGCTAATCCTTCTTAGTTATGGAAACTATTTTCAGCAGTGTTATAATTTTCTTGAGATTTATCTCGACAATAATGTTGTTCTATCAAAACTTCCATATGTAGCTTCCAAGTTCTCAAGAATTGCCTTTCATGTGCTGTCTCAACAAAGTCAATTCATCAAAGATCATATGCCCCTCTTTAGGATGTAATCCGCTCATCTAAATTAACTTATGTAAGTGGGAACAACTCCATTCAAGGCCACTTGTCATTTTAACTTTTTCTCTTGGACGACAACTATTTTTATGGTATTATTAGTTCCACTTATGAGTGTCACCCATTCGAGGAGCTAGGAGCCTTATAGCTTACTCTTTTTATTTTAAGTTAGGATACGTCGTCTTAAATAACATTCATAGATTCCATCTCTACATGCATCCATTGGACCTCTCAAAAGATCCAAGTCCACCGAATAAGTCATAATTTAATTAATTCTTAACTTATCTTCACTAGTAAGACCCATTGACTTGTAATATGATGGACTTCTTTTATGACATGGTCTAAGCTACTATTCTACAGTATAGCTCATATAAACTGCTTTCAATTTGTGTTCTTTGTAGGCCATCATTTAGTTATAATTTTAACTATTATGAACTTGTAAGATTGGCCTTGTATCTCCTCTCCTAAAACTCATATAATTGCAAGCGCTCTCTACCAAGCTTAACATGTTTATCTTTTGGCCT